TCATTGCCTGGAGGAATGCAAGATCCTCTGGATTCTTGGCAAGACTTTCAACATTAGGTGACCAGAGCTGGAATGTTGATGCCAACATGGATTGCAAATCTTCCAGTTTTTCATTTGTGTTTGGTGTGTCACGACAGCTCTTTTCGATTGAACGAAGTTTGTTGTTATCATCTAAAAGTTTGATTATTTTCTCACATGCTCTTCTTTCTGTAACCATTGGTATGTTGGCTTTTCCATACAGCAATGCAATTTCTTTCAGCACTATTTTTGCTGTTGTAAATCTTGATGGTGCACCATTTGATCCTGGATGTTGACTGTTTACTGCTACATTGCAGTAGCATATCATGCTTCTTAAAACTTGTAAGCAAGTTGGCAGCCGAATACCTGTGATTGTTCCATCATCTGCGCATATAGCAGGGCTGATCCCAAACAACTTGGTAGATCGACGAGTCTGTGGCTTTTTTTTGGAAGCTGAGAAAGGAGTTGTGTTTTGAGGACTTGGCACAATAGATACAGTTTTACTAGGTGATGATGGTTCTGGAAAAAAGAAAAAAGCTTGCAAAAAACACTGTCTTCTTCTAGATTCAAAATAATTTCAAACTACTTCAACATCACATCACCTAGGCTAGTGGACTCGAGTTTGAACACACATCAGATTTTATTAAAAATCTTCTCCGGGTTAACGAAATACCGGAGGATAAAAAAAAAAAAAACTTGAACATTTATATTTTAAATAAAATTTAGAAATTAACTATATTGCTGACATTGGCTATGCTTTATTCTATAATATGCTATATTATCCTATGTGCCAAATTTATAATTCTATATATTAACTAAATAAAATGATAATCTTTTAAACACTATACACAGTACATATAAGCAATTTCAGTTTTTTAATTTTTTTATAAAAGTTATAAATAATAGAGCAAACAGTGTAAATTGTGAATAATACTGTATATTTACCAATCTGTAAAGATGATTGTTGATAAACCATGATTATTTATATAACTTCTGAATTATTTATATAACTTCTGAATGGCAGACTATCAAAAAAAAATCTTGAAAAAATTAAACATTGCCACCAAAGACTATGAACAATGTCAAAGATCCAATAGAAAAAATTTATGCGGAGCTTTAAATTTTAATTAACATAAACTTGTCCGGGCTGGTGGGACCTCTAAATATTGAGCAATTTTAATTCTTTTTTCCCACAGTGTGGGAAAAAAGAATTAAAATTGCTATCCACTAATAGAACACAACTATCCATAATAGAACACAATCTATCCACTAATAGAACACAACTATATACCAGACAACTCAAAAATCTAAAAAAAATATGGGGATGCACCCTAATATATATATAATTTAATTGCTTAAACACACTATATAGTACATTTTTTTATTACTTTTTTTTGTTGCAGGCTGATAAAAATCACTATATTATATTCTGCTTTCTTTGCAAAAAAAAAGTAAGTGGTCAAAACGAAATTTTAAAGCATTGTGAAACTAGTGTGCACAAAGCTAAATCTGTAAGTTCTTTTAAATTATTAAGGTTATTTGTATTATATTTTATATCATTAAATATTTTGTGAGTATATGTAAGTAATATATTGATTTATAAATAACTTTCAAAATCAAAGTGTAGAAAATTGAAATTATTAACATTATGTATGAGTTGCTTTTAGTTAAGCATACCTTTATATTATATATGAGAAAACATAAAAGAATAAAATTTGTTCAATCAAAGCTATTTTTCCAACTAAAAAAAGTGTAAAAAAAGAAGTAAAAATTTTTCACAAACATTTTGTAACTATTTTTCAGCAGTTGTCAAATCAATTGCCTTCAAACTGTTTCCAAAATTAAAACAAAAACGTTAATTCAGCTATATTTTCATTATATTCATTAAAAATCAATTGAAGCAAATTAAATCAAACAAATTTACTAAATGAACATTTGCTAAGTATTTTAAGAGAATGTGCATTAAACACTACAATATTATTATGTTTAAATTGTCTTTAAAGTATTTTGGCATTGTTAAGTGTAGTAAGTTTGGCATTGTGGCAAAAACTTGAAAACTATAAAAGTTATGTAACTTTTCAAAAATAATCAACTTCGTTCTTCTGAAAATCAACTTTGTTCTTCTGAAAATCAACTTTGTTCTTCTGAAAATTATAAACCTATATTTACACTCCCACCTTAATGACAAAGTTTTGTTAAACAATACAATAACTATACAAAGTTATATAATCCTCTTAAAAATTAAGCTCTTAAAAACTGTTTGCACTTATCTGGTAAACTTGAAGAACATCTATATAGTTTGGCTATAAAAAGGTTGCTCAATTTAATTAGCAAAAACATAGGTTTTAAATGAAATCTATAGAAAAAGAAACAATTACTTGGATTTAGTTTATAAATTCAACTCTAAAGCATTTGATAAGTGCAGTGCATTACTTGAGAAGTTATTATCTTATAGAATTTTAAACAAATTTAGTTTTATGGAAAACAAGCAAATTCGAGAGGAAAATCATCTATTTAACATAGTGTTGAGTATAGTTTATAAACTATTTTTAATTATAACAAGTACATACCATAAAATTGAACTTAAATAAATTGTCAAATTAGAAAATTGAGCAAAAGAAATTATTAGAGTACAACCAATTCTATCAACAACTGATATAGCCATATAGGCGCAAGTGTACATACATTGATGTAGAGTATAAATTTTTATGTAAAATTTTTTAAAGCTAAAATCTGAACAAAATTAAAGAGTTGCACCCTATATCACAAAGTTTGCAGAAATTTAGAACAATTGTTTAAGAGACAATTTAGAAATTACTAAATTTTTTTCATAAAACTCCTAACGTTTAGGATTCAGAGCGGCTTCCAGTTTGTTCCAGTAAATTTGATTTTGACTAAAAAATGAGGTGGGGGGTTCAAAATGTTTCCATTTACCATTACCCTTAGTAATGCTGAGGTGCTGAAGTTTGGTACCAAATGAGTTTAAAACCTGCTGAATCTAAGAATTATAATATATCCTACATAAATAGCGCTTGCTATATTGAAGATATATAACATGTTTGTCTGACAAATCTAGCTCATCTGGACTATTGTTTGTGGGCATAAAAAATTCACTAACTCAAATAGTGTTAACGTGTCCAATTTGTTTTTATTAGGACCACACTCATCCTCTGTAACCTTTAACATTTAAACCACACTCATCCTCTGTAACGACGACTCCTTAGATTGTTTTTGAATAGGGAATAATGTTTTTTATATGGATCAACTCATCATTTGATTTTGATTGATTAATTTGTGGAGTATCCAATTTGATTTAAGAGTATTGCTAACAATACAATTGATTCTAAAGTATTTAATTGAATATTAGGGATTCAATCGTAATATGTAATGTATGAGGGTTTTCTTTAATAACGATGTGCTCTATTTTCATACTCGTTCAATGTGGTCAACTTTTTTGTTTTTTAATAATATCATGATAAGATGGGATAATAATTTGTATTTTATCTCCACTTGAGCATTCAAACTCGAGCATTTCCACCTGATGTAGAGTTTAAAGTAGTTTTGAGGTGGACAAATTTTTTTATGTATTTTTTTAAATTGTACTGTTGACATAGCGATTTTTTTTTGTTAATAATTCTGTTTTTCATCAAACAAGTTTGCTTTTTTCATATATTCATTAATAAAATTTGATTATTTTTTAAAAAATTCTTCAGATGTTAGTGAAAATGTATAAAGTTGTAGTTGGTTCTATTATTTGAAGTCATTTTTGATCATTTCCATCAATATCAGATTTCTTGCTTGGGTATATGATTTTATCAAATTAGAATTACAATTTAAACACATTAATACAAAAAATTGTAATTATAATGTGCCTAATGAACAAAATACTTTTAAACAAAAACAATTCATTTGAAATAAAGTTATATTTATAAGGAACATATTGCTAGAACAAATCGCTATTAGTTCTAATAAAGATATTTTAAATTATATACTGATTGTTGTCAAAATAAATGTGTGGAAAATACTTTGTAGATATTAACTACAAATATTAATAGTGATTAATTATTATATTTTGTAAATATTAACTATTGATATAACTTTAAAAGATAATTTTATTTAGCTATTAGCAAATTTTAGATTTATTGAGCAATATTATATTACTAATTTCATTCAGATTAAAATTAGTAATATAAATGACATTTTTATGAAATTTTTTAAAATAAAATTAAAAAATATCAAAATTAATTTCAAGTTTGTTGAGTATATATTAAGCATAATTTTTTTAAAAACTATTTTTATTTGTAAAATTTATAAATAATGTGAATATTGAATGTGAATATTGAATGAGAATGTTGCATAAATGTAGTATTGTGTGATTATATGAATGTGAATATTGATTGTAAATATTGAAGATTGTGTGAATGTGAAGATTGTGTGAATGTAATGTGAATGTAAACATTCAGACAAACGCATACATTTGTCATTTTATTATTTTTTTTAAGGGATCCCAAACCTCTGAGACATGCAATCTACAGACTTGATAATTTATTCAAGCTTGTTTTTTTCCTAAGAATTTTAGTGCATGACATCATTGACTTTTTTCTTTGTTTACATAATCTTTTACACAAACAAAAAAAATCAATGATATCATGTACTGAAACTCTTAGAAATAAATTACACTTGAATAAATTATCAAGTCTGTAGTTTGCAGCACATATTATGCTAACTTTAAAAAAAAAAAAAAAAAAGTCAGCATAATATGCGCCAGCATATATTATGCTGACATTTTTATTTTTAATTTATTTTTGAAAATTTTCACAAAAATGTCATTCTTAACTGCGCTACAACTGCTCATGAGTATAAACCTGATCTACTCATGGAGATAATTGTATCACATAAATGAATCTCTATGTGACAAAAATGTGTGCAAAGTGGAACTGATCTAATTAAACTAATGATACACATGTGTTAAGTGAGACCTTAAAAGGTTTTATCATGTAATGGCAAGCAAAATAGTGGTTTAGAAATTTTTCTTCAACTGGATATCGAAGTAAGTTTATTTGCTGTGTCAATAAAATATAGCAAAAATGCTCAGAGACAAGTACAACACATTCACAATTTTGGTTAAAAAACATGAAAGTTCCAGTTTCAATCAAATGAGTTAATGAATACAGAAGGATAGTGATTTTAACATGACAGACAGAACATATGACATCAAGACAACTGATATGACATACCAAAAGCAATAAAAAAGACAAAATAAAGACAAATAATTCCATTATGATAATTGCTGCAGATATTACACATTTGTACATCAGAACTTAATGGGATAAACAGGCAAGAGAAAAGAGGAAAGACATTGGTCAACTGAGAAAAGGTTATGGAAGAATCCAGTAAGCATAAAAAGCATGCAGAAAAGTACAGTAAACACGAATGATATTCATGAAACTGAATCAGTAGACTGGGATCAAGGCTTCATTGCTGTACTGCCAATCATGCTAAAAAGACCATCTTTAATTTTGAGGAACGACCCTACCAGTCCAGGAGAAACGCTAGGATAAATGTCCAGTGTTTATATGACCACAAAATCAACTGCTGTGACATCACTGACATCATTGTAAAAACATCATTTTTATTTAAAAATAGACAATTAATTTAGATCAGTTATATATGTAATACTGAGAACGGATCATGCTATCTGTAATGTATTTTACAGAGTAGAGAATTAGAAACTGCTAAAAATCTCAACTGGACAGAAAGCATTCTTGTCTCCATCAACTCCAGCACACACTTTGAAACAAATTGCAATAGCCAAATTACTATTGCCAAATCATGCTAATCTTTCCGTATCCTTATACATAAAATACAAAATCTAGATGGATCTTCAAAATATTGATTAATGTGGATTCAAAAGTTTTGTTTATAATAGTCAAATTGCTGAAATAGTGAAAGAGTTTATAGCCAAGAGGCAATCAATCCAAGAATTTTTAGACATTTTTAGACAAAAATACCTGAACAAACTTGTTCTAGTCAATGAAATTACTAAGATAAGTAAATAATAGGTTATTGAATGTTTTTAAATACAAAATATCACAACTGATAGAAGCTAGAAACAATGCTGTGGTACAGGAAGCTTGTTATCTTGACTGATATTTTATATACATTGATTTACCAATTTAGAGTTTTTTTTCTTCCTGGTATAGACCTATAGATCTAGATTGTGAGATTAATGAGATATGGAAGGACTCTGATCCTCAAAGTCAAAGTATAGACAGTAAAGTTGCGCATGTACAGTGGCCTAATCTCAGATGCGAGTTTAAGTTTGCAAAATAGGATAATCAAATAAAAGTATGGTCGAACTTCTTTAATACAAATCATTTCTAGATAGAGTACTGTGACAATTACCTGTTGAATTTCATGATATTAGATTTGTAATATGTAGTGTACATATAGTAATATCTAATGAATATATCCAATGAATGATATGAAAGCCATAGTTGTGACTTTAGTACAAAAAAGACAACATTTGTTAAAAAAAAAGTTACAAAAAAAGCTCATTGTTTGCTTCTTGTTTTTCAGTTATTATTTAACAAACTTGAAGTTGATCCTAAAGATCTCTGAAGACACAAGTTGGGAAAGTGCCAAGTTTTAGCAAATTGGTGAATTAGGGTGCAACCCTTTTTTTTATTTGAAACATTTAGGATAAAAATATAATGTTATTTGTTGGGGTTTAATTGGTTTGTTTTATAGGAACAACTTAAAAAAAAATGTAAGGAACACTTTGAAGCTATGAATAATAATTATGAAATTCAATTAAACAATTTATTGGAGCAACAACTGTTGACAACAGAACGCTTGACAAAAAAAGATCTATGTTTGAGAAATGAAATATGTAAACAGTTTGAAGAATGCTTAAAAAAAATGATTGCTCCGGGTAAACTTTGAGATTTTTATATGATTAAAAATTTTATTTTAAATTTTATAGTTTCAATTTTTTTTAACTTTTTGACTGTTTTCCGTGTTTTTTTTATTTTTTTATTTCAAGACCTACATTGTCAACTGCATGGTTCTTCATTAACATTGCTTGGGTTTAAAGATTCAAATGTTGATATTATTATCAAATTTGATATGCAGGTAGGTTCTGTATGTTTTCAGTTGCTAAGTAACAACAGTAATAACTTTTACTTTATTTTTTCAGTTGTATTATTGTTATATATATATTTTTTAATTAAAGCTAACCTTTTTTAGTGACAAGTGATTTTTTCTAAGTTTTTATTTAGATTATAAATATACTGATTTTTTTTTAGAAAATTATAGAGTTTAATCCATTAATGTCTGACTCTCTATGTTTTTATTCTCTGGTAGCGGAAGTGATTCAAAAGCAAACGTGTAAGCTTTTTTTTTTTTTAAGATTCCATAAAGTTTTGAATGTTTAATAATAATAATTTTTTTTTGAATATTTTTTTTTATTTAGGCTTTTATTCAGATCTTGAGAACAATCTTGATATGAAAAATGCTAATATTAAATTTAAAGATATAAAAAGGCAAAAAGATTCTAAAGTTTATTTCTGTTAATTTTTGTGTTGTTTCGTTATCAGTTAAATACACTTAAATTTCATACATTTAATATTTAACTATTTTTACTATTAATTTTTATCTTTTTAGCTAAATTTTGATCCTTTTGAATTTTTACCCTAAATTTCTTTTACTACAATTTCTATCTTTTTATTCAAAAAATACATACCCATACACCCAGTTTAAATTTGTAAAGATTTCTTTAAAATAGTTAAGCATTAAGCTTAATGTTTTTTTAAAAAAAAATTTTTTTTTTAATTAAAATTTTTTTTTTTAATTTTGTTTGTACATTAACATATTTCCAATTTTTTTTTTAATTGTTGTTGCAACCCTTTTTTTAAATCTAAACAATGAACTTTTATAAACAATGAGTTATATCCATGTTCCTGGAACTACTGGAATGCAATGGTGGTCTAATTTGTAACTGCTTTCCTAAAAACTTAATCTAAAATTTTTTTTTTTTTTTTAAATTTTCAATTAAAATCTAGAGATTTTATTATTAAGAAAAAATGTGGAAAAAAATACTCTGAAAAGTTAAACAAGTCTGCTGCATAAATAAACAGAATGAGCAAGGTGAGACATGAGACAAAGTACATCCATGTTTATCTATCATTCATGGTCATTCAGAGACTTTAGATTGTTTTGAACCTTAAATCTTTTGATTGTAAGTTAATTGTTTTGCCACTATTGCGTTCAAAATGGAATTGCTAAATTTAAATTTTAAGTTGTATAATTGTAGAAAAGTATAGTTTTTGCCCTAAATACAGATTCTGATTTGTTTTGATTTTAATTATTTTGAATAAATAAAAACTATAATATATATATATATATATATATATATATATATATATATATATATATATATATATATATATATATATATATATATATATATATATATATATATATATATGTACATATATATATATATATATATATATATATATATATATATATATATATATATATATATATATATATATATATATATATATATACATGTGCGCCGACTTTTGTGCGCCGCAGACCAGGAGAACAACACAAACCAAAAGGCATAGTAAACACTGTAAAGCACCCAGCATCTATAATGGTTTGGTCATGTAATTCGAGCAGGGATACCGGTCATCTTTACATTGTAGAAGGGAAAATGAAACAAGATCAGTACAAGACTGTCCTACAGACTTTGCTGGTTCCAGATACGAGAGTGGTTTCCAAATGGTGAAAAAATAATTTTTATGCAAGATGGTGCTCCATGCCATACTGCAAAATCCATAAAGACATTGCTTGCTAATGAGAGTATCCAGCTTCTTTATTGGCCTTTCTCCAGATATGAAACCTATTGAAAATCTATGGGAGCTTGTCAAACGCAAAGTGTTGACATAATAACAAGTAAACAAAAGCTCACAGAACGGCTGATTGAAGTATGGTGTTGAGATCCAGATGTTAAAGCATTAACTTCTTAGTGCATAAATAGTATGCTAAGGCATATCAAAGCTCTTTTAAAGTTGAAAAAACTCACCACAAAGTACTAAGTTTTATAACATGCTTTGTATATGTCAATATAAAGATTATGTAAAAAAAAATTAGGTTGTGATTGCTTCTAGTTCATTTTTTTTAAACAAAAAAGACGAAAAGTTAAAAATTGAATTTGAGTCTAATAATTTGAGTAGGTACTGTATATATATACAGTCTTGGCCAAAATGGATAGAACACTAGCGAAAAAATTTATATTTTGTGTTTTTATTTATATATCATAATCTAGCGATTACAGATTAATTATTTTTACAGATTAACTTTGTTTAATTACTTTATTATTGATTATTTGTTATAAATTGTGTTTGTTTTATTTTTAGATAATAAAACTGATATAATAGACTTGAAGTAATGATAATCTATTATTACCATAATAATAGTTGGTCACCGATTGGTTCCCAAAATTCATGCACAAATTTCTGTTTTGGCGCATAAGGGTTACTCTACCCGTGCTATTGGACTTAGACTTGGACTTCTTTGCAGTGCTGTTTGCGGATCAATTGCAATGCAAGCAAAAAGTGGCACTTATTCCTACCCCAAACCCAGTGGACACAAGCGATGCACAATAGCTCGGCTTGATAATGCTATTATTTGTGCTGTCAAGAAATCTCCAAGAAAGTCTTCATTAACAACACAGTCTGCTATGACCCTAGAACACAAACCAAGTACAAGAAGAATTTGCAGACGTTTAGTACAAGTTAAACTGAATTCCTACAGACCAGAAAAGAAGCCAGTGCTCTCTGCTAAAAACATCCGGGACAGGTTATCGTTTTGTAATAAGTATAAACATTGGACGGTGGACCAGAGGAAGTCTGTAATGTTTGGTGATGAATCCGCAGTATGTCAGTTTTATGCTTTAACCAGACACATCAGATGCCCACCCGGAGAATGCTAAAATAAGCGGTTTGTGGTTCCAACAGTCAAAAATGCACCAAAGATCATGATATGGGATGCAATCAGTGCTAATGGCAGAAGTAGTTTATGGTTCATGCCACAAGAAACCACAATTAATGCTATGGTATACCTTAGCATCCTAAAGAATAAATTGCCTATTTTCATGCCTATACATCAATGCAACTATTTCCAACATGATGGCGCACCCTGCCATCAAGCAGCAACCGTCAAGGCTTGGCTACAACAACAGGGAACCAACAATCTTGGGCCGTGGCCTGGCAACTCACCAGACCTCAACCCCATATAGAACTGTTAGGTTATTTTGAAGGCAAAGGTGGCTGCTAAAAATCCTACATATATATATATACACACATATATACAAATAATTTTAAATGTACTCAATAAAATAGAGTGCTCAATGTTCTTAAAAAAACAGAGCAATAATAAATTAATGCAAAATCACTTATCAAATTTCTTTCATTTTGCATTGTGTTTTATCTATAAAAATTCATCAAAAATATATATAATTGTATATATATTTAATATGTTATAATAAAATATATAATATTGTATAATAATAATAATATATATATATATATATATATATATATATATATATATATATATATATATATATATATATATATATACACATATATACAAATAATTTTAAATGTACTCAATAAAATAGAGTGCTCAATGTTCTTAAAAAAAGAGAGCAATAATAAATTAATGCAAAATCACTTATCAAATTTCTTTCATTTTGCATTGTGTTTTATCTATAAAAATTCATCAAAAATATATATACTTGTATATAAATAAAATGTTATAATAAAATATATAATATTGTATAATAATATATATACATATATATATATATATATATATATATATATATATATATATATATATATATATATATATATATATATATATATATATATATATATATATATATATATATATATATATAATTGCATTATTATATATAGTATTATAGTATTAAACTATAATTTTTTTAAACAATAATTTTCATTTACTAAACATTATTTATTTACTAGTCAAGAAGTAATATTGTGGTAGCAGAGCTAATTGAGATGAGTTTGTGCCAATGTACTACTCATACGCTGAGTAGGCAGAGCCAGAATTTAAATCTGCTGCTACGACCAATAATTGTTCCAAACTTTTAGCAGCGCTCCATATTATATATCATTATAATATAAAGTGTTATATAACATTATAATAAAATATATAATTCTAAAATAATAGAACCAGTTATAATTATAATAATAAAAAATAATTTTGAAGAATGTTTTGTTTTTTTTGTTTACTAGTTTTGAATTATAAATCATATTTTATTTAGTGGACTTTCATGCTGCATAGCTCTTGTTTACAGTAAGGTAACTAAATTTGTATTGCTTTTCTTTAAATCTTCGCTATTTTTAACAATATTGCAGTCATCCAAATCAATTATATAATAATAAAAAAACTTAAAAATAAATAATCTAATAAAAAATGTAATAAATAATCTCTATATAATAAACTTAATAGTGTTAGTAGTAGTTATGCCCATTCGTGCATTTTGACACAAAGTTGACGGTACCCATTAAAAAAAAAGAGCAGAAATTAAGTTATCAAAGTTCCATTTATGTAATGTTAAGTAGGGTAGACCTGCCCCCCCCCCCTAATTTTTTTTGATGTGCAACTTTTTAGCTTTTTATGTTTTGTTTTATTTTTTGATGGAAAAAGGTTGACAAGACCCTAGACTACCCATAAATAACATTATTAAATGTTCATACTCGTTTTTTAATACATTTTAAATTGCTTTTGTTAGGTTATATCTGATGAGCTAACATGCTAGTTATTAGGGTAAGTTGGCCTAGAGATATAAAACAGGGCAAACTTAATTTGATGTATTAAAATTGTTTAAATGGTCCCACACCTCTAATTATGATCCAATAAATATAATTTTTTTTGGAAAAAAGTTTGAATTACTACCAACCATTGTCTAGATTCAAACTTCATCCTATACCTAGATTCCCAGCTCACTAAAGGGCATAGTCTTTGAATAAAATCAATTTGGCCAACCTGGTCTACCCCGAAAATATCTGTAAGTGTAAATGTCAGTAGATTGTATAATATAATCTTGTATAACATATGTATAATAACTATCAATTAAGAAAATATCTGATAACTTTTAAAAAATCTTCTTACAGTTTAAAGTCTTTTTTGCTTAAACTCTTTTGTTTTGTATTAAAAATGAGGATAGCGCACTAAACCACTGAGCTACTGAAGATCACATCAAAAAACAAATTTTTTATACTGGTTATAATTAATCAACACTTTTCAAGTGGATACTCTTAATAAGCCAATTGCATAGCAACATTGCAAACCAATTTTTTTAAAAAGTATTTGAAAACCACAATATTTTCTCAAAAAAAAAAAAAAAAATGCAAGTATAAAAGTTATTTAAATAACTTAAATTTACTCGGCCAAACTCTCTAGTAAAAAAAAATATACCATGATCAACCAATTGTCGATAATTTAAATTTTCTTGAAATCAAGTAGCATAAGTACAACACTTATGCTTCTTGATTTCTAACTTCTAAGCTAATATCTATTTCTTAAACTTCTAGCTAGAACTATTTGATACGGTTGGACTAGCCTAATACTGTATTAGGTTAGCCCTACTGAATCAAATAGTTCTAGCTAGAAACTTGTTGACTTTATCAATTTAATAATAATTAAACTCTAGATTGTGTTTGCTGTCACAATTTGCCCTTCAGGGTTTACTTTAAGGTATAGCCATACAAAGTCCTGTACTATTATATGGTGGCATTCTATTGCAAGCAGTTCAATTAGATCAGTCTATTTTAAAACTTCCATTTATATGGATAATCTATATGGATAATCTATATGAAGCAAACTTATGTAGAAGATCAGCATGACAAATTTTTTTGAAAGCTTTTGATGTGTCAAGAGCAATAGCCGTAGCCTTGCCACCTCAATCTAATGCATAATAAAATCTTTCAGTCACAGCAGTTAGCAAGTCAGCCTTAGATGATCGAAAACTGTATTGATTGTCTGACGGTAAGTTTATTGATTCAAGATGGGATGTTAGAAATTTGTTGATCAAAGACTCAAAGACATTGGCAATAAAAGATAAAAGACTGATTAGACGATAGTTGTTGTGGTCAGAATGTTCTTCAGAGTTTTTAGAAATCGGAACCACAGATTCAATTTTCCAACAGGCAGGAAAACAAGATTCAGTCAAACACTTGTTAAATAGTTTAGAGAAAATTGAAGAGAATTCTGGAGGACACTTGCAAGTCTATGTCTGGACCACAAGCCATAGAAAAGTTTAACTGACTTATGACTTTAGAAATGGAAGCTGGAGTGATTTAAATGCCTAACAATGGGTTAAACTATTTAGTTGGAATGGAAGGAAGAGTATTGCAATAAGACTCAAGAGTAATATTGGAGGAAAGCCTCTTTGCAAATAGTTTAGCCTTATTCTTGGGTATGGTAATAATATCAGTCCCATGAATGAGTGATAGAATGTTAGACCTTCTTTTGTTAATGATGCTGTTAAAATTTCTTGAACTTTTTACAAAAATGTAAATAAAATGTGTTGATCTTAGTTTGCTTGAAAACCAAGAAGTAGAATGATGTTTAAATTATCATCAAAGCAAAGGAATAAAAGCTTACATTCCTGCCCGGATCAAGGATGTCATGTACAAGGTGCATTTATCAGCAGAGAGAGAAAAGCCCTAGAGAAGAAGAATAAGATGAAATTAGTTTCACATAGAGCAAGCAAGTGAATTTTGCAAGAGGCAAGATTCAACTGACGAAAGGATACTTTAAAGACCACAAATATTTGTGAAAGATTTGTCGAAGCATTTCGGTGGTGGGGATGGTTTTTGATGTTTATTATTTTGGGTTACTTTGGGCACGATTTAAGTTTAAAAATAACTTTTCTCATTTATAGATAGAGTATGCCATACCAACTAATGAGCTATGCAGTTGTCTCCTGTTAATTAACCCAAAGTTCTAACTTAGAGCTCCTAATGTGGCCTTGACAATGCATGACAAAACCATTAACAGGGAAACTATCCATGTGCAATATGGCATTGTTAATACTTAGGTTGTTTACAGCTGTATTTAAAAAACTAACTTGTATAGCTGCTGACAAAACTAATTTTAATCTTGGGTTTTTAAAGCATACTTTGACTTGCAAGCTAGAATCTGTGGAAGAGTCTCTGTACAATGTAAATAAGACTGTGCCTTAAGTCAGCAATTACTGCCTGGTCACCTCATCATCAAGGAAAACATTGACATGTCAGAGAAAATACAACAACAAACAACTAAATTTCTGCATCTTATAAAATCCATCAGCTGTAAGATAAGATGCAGTTTTGATTTAACTATCTCCTTGTGACAGGTGCATTGGTAGCAATCTCATTTAAAAGTTAAAAACTTGAAAATGATGTTGTTTAATTGACATATTATTGCATTAAGCATTTAAGCTAGGGACACTAACAATGTTTTCTTAGTAAAATAGACAATAATTGTCTAACCTATTATAACTTTATTAATGAATTTTGTAATATAGGAACAACTTGATAATGTTGTCTTTTAATCTCAATACATTCAAATTAAAAGACCATACAGAGAGAACAGACCTTGTGATAAAATGTTGGAAATAAAGCAATTGGCCTACCCAAAAAGAAATATGCGATAAGCGATTGTTTTTGTTTGATAATATTTAAATAACTCTATACATATTTGTATACTGTATTTTAATGTAATAATCAACATTTACTTTAACTGTATTTTAATGAGGTTGTTAAAATTTTGAAAACAGCACATTGTTGTGCAAATTGCAATTTGTAATTTATATATACATAAAATAAGGTCATTCTTAATATATTTATAAAAATATTTATAAATTTTCAGATAAAATAAGAAAAGTAAAGTTTGAGTTTTTACAAAACAATTTTTTAAATAATATCTAATTAATAACTTTTTTATCGAAATATTGAAATAATCTAAATATTCAGCTGCAGAAGAAAAACTAGTTTATTATTTTAATATGGTGTAGATAAAGAAAATTTAAAAAAACTTTATAAATATTATTCTAAACAAAATAATTTAGCAAGCATGTGAATATTTATTTGACAATGCTAGTTTTATAAGTTACATTTTTTCAGGAAATACAGCAACAACTGGTAATATTTTTTTCATAAAAAATAAGATGTCAAAATAAGTGTTATATATTATATATAAATTTGCACAATTTTAGATGAACTACATAATTAGTTGTTTTTTTTAATTCATTTCTTATCCATTATTTTTGATTTAGCATATTTGTGTAAAATTGTATGTAAAAAAATAATTTAAAAATATTTTTAATGTTATTATATATCTGATTTTTAGTGTTATCAAACATCTGATTTAATAATCAAGTACACCAATGTTGATGAGAGATGCGCTAAACTGGCTATGTTAATAAGAATGTGGAGCAAGGCAAGTTTCAATGTTTATAAAATTAAATCCAATATTTTCATAATTTTAGGAGTTCTTGATAAAAAAATTATAAACTAAAGTTATAAAACTTAAGAAATTTATATTAGGCTTGTGGTCTGGACAATGCTGATAATGGAGGATTATCACCATACTGTTTTGTATTAATGGTAATTAATTATCTTCAACATACCGAGCCACCTGTCCTTCCTATAATAAAAGTAAGTTTTTTGTTAGTAGGAGTATTTTTATTAGCTTTTTATTTGTATTTTTTATTATTTTTTATTTATTAAAATTTATTATTTATATTTATTTAAAATCTTTTTAAAGGTTACTGGTTGCGAATATGAAGTTGATAAGTTAGTTGACCAGGAAAATGAAGACATGTACTCAATACCTTATAATGAAGTTTGTGAAATATTATTTTTATTAAAACTTAATTTGCTTCTTTACATGAGATAGTTGTATATTGTAACAACTAGTAACAACTAGTTTTTTTTCTAAGTTTTTAAATTGTAGATTGATAATTCTTTTTTATAAACATTAAAAAAAATTCTGTGGGTGTAGAATTTTTGTAAACAATACATAAAAAACAACTTTTTTGCTGTTTTAGAATTTTGTAAAACAGCTTTTAATAACTGTTTTACTTTTTTTTTTAATTTAAAAGTGAATTTGTTATTACAATCAAGTATAATTTGGCATTGAGCTAACATCCAGACACAAGGCAAGCTCATGAAATTTTTATATTTACTCTTTTGTGAAATAAAGATGCTCTACTAAAGATAGCAAATGATAAATTTAGTGATATGATATTTATATTATAACTATATTAGCTTGTTTATAAGACAATCTCATATTGCAATATCAGCATTTATTTTATCAACAATGTATACAGTTGTTTATAACAAATTTAGTATTTTTTCTTCAAGTTTGTAATTTTCAGATTATTAACTGAAGAATGAAGTATGCTAGAGTTGAGGAAAATTAGTTTTTCAAAATTTAAATTAAATAAAATAAATTAAAAAAAAAATAAAATAAAAAAGCATTGTATTTAAAAAAGTTAGCTTAGAACAGACAAAGAATATAAACAACATTTAGAATAATCTTTCAAATCTTTATAAAATACTGACGAACAAAAATATAATTAATTTAAACTAAAGTCTACTTTCAACATAAAAATTGTTTATGTTGATATTAAAGATGAATATGCTGTTAAAAATGACTTTTGACAGAATTCAAGAACTTCACTTAAAAATGAATTGGGCTAGAAAATGGTGTTTTTGTATCTGCAAATTATATAATTGACTTGATAACAATAGTTTAATAATAAGTTTTGCTAATATAAAATATTTTTAAATTTAAAAATAAGGCATTTAGCATATTGTTTATCTATGATCAGGTAAATATAATCATGGTCAAACATACAAGTAAAAACCTACAAGTGGATATAAAATTGTATCAATGCTTACAATTCCTACTTTGAAAATAAAATTTTACATTTAGCACTAAACTTAATAGAAATAAAAATCATAAAGTTTATAATTAGGTAGAGATAATCATTGCTAAAGTCGTGGTCATATATAACTATTTTATAAACTATAACTCATGATTATTATTAATAACAATTTTTAATTTTACCATAGGTTCAATGTTGGAAAAGTAAGAACACTGCTTCTATTGCTGTTTTGTTTATTGGTTTTCTACAGTGAGTTATTTAATTATATTATTTAAAAATGAATGTTTTTAAATTTTTGAAAAAATTTGTATTTTCTTCAGCATTTTTTTGGAAATGTTTTGTTTGCTGAAAACTAAATGTCATACATTAAAAAGCCAAGTTTACGAAAATCTGCTTTGAAAATGATTATTTAATTTAATTTACTTTAATGTACTTCATAATGAAGAAAGATAAAAATTTAAAAGTTAAAAATTAAAATGTAGACAATATTTAAAATATATCTTTAAAAATATATAACTTTGACATGTTTAAAAATGCATTTAAAAAACCTATTCCCTATAATTTATATTCAAATAAACAAAAATAAAAATTTAAAATATAAAACTTCTTATTATAGATTAAACTCTCTCAACAATAAATAAACAATAATAAATAACTTTTGTGAATTTTGTTTATTATATATATAAAAAAAGAAATTTTTAATTAAAAGCTTAGAAACTAAATGTTAAAAGTTTTGATGATTTTAACTTGAGATTAGTTTTATTTTATTTTTTATTAAAATAATTTTTTTATTTTGTAGTTTTTTTTTAAATTTTGGTTATTAAGATTATTATTTTTTTTTTCAAATGAAAGTTTTCTTTTTCCTCTTTCCTTTATCTTTTTTTTTTTGATTTCTCTTGGTGCATTGTTTTGTTCAGTTTTTATTTATTTTATTTTTCTCATTGCTACCATTTTCGTTTTTGTTTTCTCTTGGTCAAATTCTCTTAAAATGTTGAAAAATTTTAAAATGACTTCTAGATTAATGTTTTTTTTTTTTTTTTAATCGCTTTTGAACAAATGTTAATAACAGCCATTGGTTAAGTATATAAAGAATTCTATTTTAAGTACGGTAGGATACAGTAAATTTGAATTTAATAATAAATTTCTACTATTCTCCTAAACACTCTAGAGCATTTAAGAAGCTTCCAGAAAATTCGAGAAACTCTCAGAATTTTCCAGAACATTCTTGAATGTTACAAAAGTAGCTGTGCATGTATAAAAGCACAGGTGTCTAAAATCAAGGTTCCAATTCGTGTTATTGAAGACTGAAATATAACAATTCGTAGTTAAAGAGAAGTTATTTATTTGATATAGCATCAAGAAATTGTTTGCATTCAGACATTTCATAATGACAAGAGCAAAAAAGTATTTCGTGGAAGCAAGCTGTATAATGTGCGAGGCATACAAGACATACTTTAATATGTTGGTTGGGGATAAAGACAAATCTTGTGCACTGCATTTTACATGTGAATATTGCAAGAAAAAACTTGAAGTTATTGTGAAAAGTTGCTTCTCGCTTAGTTTTAATTTATTTTCATAAAATTTCAATGCTTTAGATCTAGTTCATTTCAAGAAGTTGTAAATTACAAAGTTTTGTCATAAGTCGTGTAGGTATACATGTTCTTTAAATCTCGAAACTGTTCTATGTTTAAATTTCCTGTCCTCAAGTTTTTATAATTCTTGTGTATTATTATGTACTATGTTATAGGTTAGTACAAAGGAGAGAAGCAAGCCATGAAGTTTGCTATCATCTGAATATGGCAAGAGTTGCATGGTAAACCCTAAAAATCATTGCACCAGCAAAAATGCTTTCAGATTGCTTATCTGGATATACCTTCTTCCATCGCCCCAGTACTACACAGCCCCAATCTGCCTGTTTCAACTCCTCCTAGGCAGCATTGACCATCTTCAGGAGACAGCAGCAAGACAGATACTGAAGATATGGACTAGGATTCTGCAGATGAAATCGAATACTGAGCTTCTGAAATCCAGACTCAAACGTTAGAACTTGGTTAATAATATTGTTCAAGTCATGGATCAGATAAAATGGCATCAAATATTCTCCAATTTTTTTAGTCAGCATGATGGGCTGAGTTTCTGCAACGATGTTGCTGGTCTATTCCAGGCTATAGATATTGCATGTAATCCTATTGAATGGGGTCTATTCATAGCCAATTCATGCTGGAGCCTCAAAGCCGTGTTACTTCACAATGGAAACAACCCTCTAACCATCTCTCCTGATTGTCCACTCTATGTATCTCAAGAAGACTACACCAGTGTAAAATGTTGCTGAGTGCTTTAAAGTATGAAGACTATGAATGGGAGGTCATCGGTAACTTCAAAATGGTATCATTCAAGAAAGTTAAACGAATTTTTTTGTTTCCTCTGTCTCTGGGACAGCCCTGATACTAAGGTGCATTATTGCACAAAGGACTGGTCACAACAGACCTAGTTTTCTGTTTGGGAAGAGCAATGAGAAGTGGGAGTTGCTGATATGCCTCCACTGCACATCAAGTTAAGCCTCATTAAACAATTTGTCACTGTTCTTGACAAGGAGTCAGCAGCATTTCAATACCTCTAAGATCTTTTTCCAAAGCTGTCCAAGGCTAAGGTCAGAGCTGGTATATTAATCAGACTACAGATTAATAAGATCATTGAATCAGAGGATTTTGCAAAGCTGTTAAACTGGATGGAGAGAGCAGCTTGGAACAGTTTTGTTGCAGTTGTTTAGGGCTTCCTAGGTAATCACAAAGCTGAAAACTATGTGGAGTTGGTACAGACTTTCATAAAGAATTATGCCAAAATGGGATGCAAAGTGTCTTTAAAAGTCCATATCCTTGATTCGTGTCTTGACAAGGTCAAGGAGAACATGGGGGCTTACTTCAAAGGGCAAGGCAAGCGCTTTCATCAAGATATATTGGATATTATCAAGGATAGTATAACAAAAACATGATGGGGATTACATACAAAAACATGATGGGGGCTACTTTAAAAAAGTGATTCACAGTACAGTCGTAAATCTAGAATATCTAAACATTTCTGAACCTTTTTCAGTGGTTTCCGACTGTGTTTGTTTATTCCTTGTGCAATTTTTGTTTTAACCTGATCATAATGACGAAGATGAAAAAAAATTGTTTTGATTTCACAAAAAAGCAAGTTTTCTTCGTTTTTCACATACTTTAGACATGAGTAGTTGAAATATAACACTTAGAAGCCAGGAACAAAACATGTATTACATAGTGTAATCATACATTTGTTGTAATTTTTTTTTTGTAAATATGATTATAATTGAGCGCTAAATTATTTAATTTATAAATAATTATTATTTAATTTATAAATAAGTTATTTTATATTCTATATATATATATATATATATATATATATATATATATATATATATATATATATATATATATATATATATATATATATATATATATATATATATATATATATATATATATATATATAAGCGCTCGAAATAACGGGCAATCAACGATCAATGATTGGCTATTTTCAGGTAAATTTTGAAAAATTCAAGGGAAAATAACCTGTTTTTGTGAAAAAATTACATTTGATTCGCAAGCTTTGAAAAAATATTTCGAGCGCTGATATATATATATATATATATATATATATATATATATATATATATATATATATATATATATATTATATATATATATATGTATATATATATATATATATATATATATATATATATATATATATATATATATATATATATATATATATATATATATATATATATATATATATAATTATATATATATATATATAATTATATATATATATATATATATATATATATATATATATATATATATATATATATACATATATATATATATATAATTATATATATATATATATATATATATATATATATATATATATATATATATATATACATATATATATATATATAATTATATATATATATATATATATATATATATATATATATAATATATATATATATATATATATATATATATCAGCGCTCAAAATATTTTTTTAAAGCTTGCCAATCAAATGTAATTTTTTCACAAAAACAGGTTATTTTCCCTTGAATTTTTCAAAATTTTCCTGAAAATAGCCAATCATTGATTGTTGATTGCCCGTTATTTCGAGCGCTTATATATATATATATATATATATATATATATATATATATATATATATATATATATATATATATATATATATATATATATATATATATATATATATTTACTTTCTTGATGTTACCTTCAACCTGTTAAAAAATACTTTCCAGCCATACAGAAAACCAGGTGACCACCCATTATACATCAATGTATATTCTAACCACCTTTCAAGTATTGTTAAATCCATACCAACGATGATATCTAAACATATTAACAATATTTCATCTAGCAAGAAAGTTTTTGATAAAGCAACATCTTTTTATAACAACGCGTTAGAAGTAAGTGGGTTTAATGAAACGATTACTTTCCGAAAAAATATTGCCCCATCAAAACCAAAATCAAGATCACGAAACATTATTTGGTTTAATCCTCCGTTTTCGCAAAATGTAAAAACCTATGTTGCAAAAAATTTTTTAAATCTTATTCAAAAGCATTTTTCAAAAATTTCTCAAAATTTGTAATTGGCATAATTTAAAAGTTAGTTATAGCTCTCTTCAAAACTTCACCAATATTATTAAATCACACATTAAAAAAGTATTATCTAATGTTTCCAACACAATTGTTTCAACGTGTAACTGCCGGCAACCTTCACAATGTCCTTTGCAAGGTACGTGTCTTAGTAAAAATATAATTTACGTCTGCAATGTAAAAAATCACCACAGGATAGTGGTTTAAACTATATTGGTTTAACAGAGCACAACTTTAAAGATTGCTGGTAGAAGCATAAAAATTCCTTTCAATACGAAAGTAAAGCTACTGCCACAGAACTTTCTAAGTATATCTATGAAATGAAAAAAAAGGGATTTTGAAATCCTATTATTACGTGGAAGATTATTGATAGGATGGAACCTTTTAAACCTGGAAGATAGTTATGTAACCTCTGTTTAACAAAAAAATACTATATCATTACATCATCTTTGAAACTATTAAATAAATGAAATGAATTAATATCTAAATGTCGCCACAAAAACAAATTTCTTATCTGCAACTTTATCGTTATTTAAGTCAACACTGTCTTCTATTTTTGTATATTTTTTTTGTAACGCCTGATGATCACATAAAGCGTGAAACTCCAAGTTATGTTACAAATTTATTTGTATTTTATTATTATTTCAATATAATATAAATATATATACACTTTTTTTTAGTTACTTTTTGGTAACATTTCAATATAAATCAATGATTGTTAACATTAGACAGCATGCACCACCTTTAATTGTGTGCTAAATTAATTAATTTATAAATCAATTAAATTTATAAATAATTATTTAATTTATAAATAAATTATTTTATATTCTATATATGTAGTGTATATATATATATATATATATATATATATATATATATATATATATATATATATATATATATATATATATATATATATATGTATATATATATATATATATATATATATATATATATATATATACATATACATATATATATATATATATTTATATATATATATATATATATATATATATATATATACATATATATATTTATATATATATATATATATATATATATATATGTATATATACATATATATATATGTGTATATATATATATATATATATATATATATATATATATATATATATATATGTATGCACACTTTTATTTAGTTACTTTTTGGGAACATTTCACCATAAATCAATGATTGTTAACATTAGACAGCATGCACCTTTCTTGCGTGATCTTGAAAGATATGGGAATCGTCGGTTTGTTATTTTAGGTATTTTTTTATTTATTTAAAACTAATGACTTAATTTTTAAATATATTAACAATTCAGTTTTATTTAAGGTTCTTTAACAACATCCTCAGAGCTAGACTAGACATAACATAGAACACATCTCCATAGACATAAGGATATTACTATCTATTCAGCTCATGACTTTCTAAGTGATCTGATGTTACAATGTTTTAATAAAATATGGGTTGGATTAATTAATGGGTCAATGGATTAATTAATTTTCTATTATGATTAAAATCTCAAGTAGAACTTAGTTATTCAATTTCAAATTTTAGAAGTAAAGAAAAATGTAAAGAGCAATAATTTTTGTTTTACCAAAATTTTAAAGCAATGTTTTGTCATCAATATAGGTTATAGTAAGTTGCAACTTTTAGGTGCTAATATAACCTCCTTCTATCCTCCTTATTATTAAATTATTGACAAGATTATTAAGTAAAGAAAAGTTTAAAGAGCAATTTTTTCAAACAAAAATTTTCTAGCAATATTTTGTCACCAAGTTTTAGTAAGTTGCAAGATCATAACCTTTAGGTGCTGATCCTTCTGTATTATCTTTTATTATTGTTACAGTTAATAATATTAATATTATTATTATTATCATAGTGTTATAATAGTATGTTAAGGTTAAGTTTGTTGCAAGTGAATGGCTGACACAAATGATATTTACTTTTCTTGTTTTTGTAATAATTACCGTCTAAGTCTGCCAAAATGCTTTTATTTATCAAATTTCAGATAATTTTTTATTTAAAATTTTCAATTGTAAACATAGAGTGGTAATTCAACATAAGATCTTTTTATCTATGATGGTTTTATATACCTTGTGCCCTAGTTACTTTCACCTTTTGTCCTAAATACTTTATATAAAACAACCACTAAATACTTCATACTCAAGATACTTTAAAGTTCTTCATACCCAAAATACTGTTTAAATATTTTTTGCCTAAAATGCATTTAAACGCCTTGTACCCTCTTTTACATATTATTACTTTATAAAAGATTTATCTTTGGAGGAATTTCTCTAATTATCTAAGGCTTCCTATTTTTTTTTTTTTTTTTTCATGTTTTTTTTATTTTTTATTTTAACTAATTTATACCTATAGCTATTAAGTCAGAATTTATAAAAAGAATAAAACAATTTTAAATATTTTTTCTAATATTTCATAAATTTTTTCATTAACATCTTCTTGTAGATTCAATTTATTTTCTTCTTAAAAAACTTCTTAATAAGTTTAAATGTTATATGATGTAAGTTACAGTAATATAAAATAGTTTTAAAATACAGTTTTAAGTTGTAAGTCACTAGAAAACAAAAAATCAAACAGAAAAAAAAAAAAAGTTTAAAAAGTTGTTTGAGTCAGGAAAGTATGAAGATGGGAAGAAGAATTTTTAAGCATTGAAAAGGTGCTGGTAAAAAAGCTAAATGAATTAAGGTTTTTAGAGCATGATGAGACAGATAAAGTAAAAGATGCAACTTTGCTTAATGACGAGTCAAATGAGAATGACTATGTATAATTTGCTAAAAAAGAAAGAGATGCAACCTCATGACAATGGGAGAATGGCTCAAGGGAATTAGAGCAAGTACAACTGTGTTTACAATGCATTCGCAACTCATTTTTGAACCTTGTATAGAAGAGAAAGCATCATTAGAAGAACCAGCCCAAATATGACATTAATACTCTAAACAGGGACAAACAAGAGATTTCTTAAAGATAGAGAATGAAATCATAACTTTTCAAGCTTTTCAGTGGATTGTATGTATGGTTTCCATGATAGGTCAGTAGTGAATGATTATCCAAGAAGGTGTAAGGAATAGGTGTGAACTTTTACCAACTTTGAAATTTATTAGTAAATCAATAAAAAAAGTATATTTTATCAGTAAATATTGGTAAAATTAGTAAAAAAATAAAACAACCAAAATAAAACAAATCATAAAAAATCTGATAACTTGATTTATCTGATATTGATTTAATTGAAATATAATTGATAAAAAAATGAACTTTCAGGAAACAAAGGGTTTCTAAGGGTTACAAAAGATCTCAAATAAGTTTTCATTCATTCTGGATTGAATTTTTGTCACAAATAATTCAACAGCAGAACAGGTTTACCTAGGCTCAATACTTGTTAAAGAGATGCATTCTCCAGTGCATTGTTAAAGCCATTTCTTCTGAAATGGCTTTGAATTTATTGTTTGAACTGTCGTGCTTTCTTTTGCTTGAATGTTTAATTGCATCCTTGAGTTCATATTAAAGTGAAACTGGATGTTGAGTCAAGCACTTCTAGAATGAAATCTAAGTCATCTGGAATTGTTGGGAAAGGTCTAGACAGTTTAATTTTAGCAGCCTTTTGAAAAACAGACTTCAAAGCATTTTAAAAACTCAAATAAAGCGAAATTTTATAGAAATTTCAAAAATAATAATTTTTTGATATAAAAATTATTATTTTAGATTTATTGCATAATAACTATGGTTTTTTTAACTAAAAGTGAAAAAAGTGCATTTATTCTATGTTTTTTAATGACAATTTTTTTGAGCAATATGATTTTTATAAAACGATTATTATTATCGAATTTTTTATAAAATTTCGCTTCTGTATATATATATATATATATATATATATATATATATATATATATATATATATATATATATATATATATATATATATATATATATATGTATACATATATATATATATATATATATATATATATATATATATATATATATATATATATACATATATATATATATATATATATATATATATATATATATATATGTATGTATATATATATATATAATATATATATATATATATATATATATATATATATACATTTTAATGGCATCTTAATAGTATGATGAATTTTATATAAAAAAGTGAAAATACATAATTACAGCGACATACTATTTATTTAACTTATTAAAATTATTTTAATTTAAATGTGATATTTTGGCTCATAGTTGGAGCCATTTTCAAACATTATTAATTTTTTTATTGAATGATTAACGAATAACAAAAAAGCTCATTTTATAAATAACTTACATTTATTTTATTATTTTTTTGACTTGAATTTTTTTTTCAAGAAAAGAGTCGCAAATTCCATTTTTTCAAAATGAGTTTGCGTCTCTTTTCTTGTCCACAAACTGTTTATCAGCTTCTATGGTTAATTTTATGACAGGTTGTTTATTAATCTACTTTTGACAAGGTGAGTATTTAGGTGGTTTGATTCAATAGTCTTGCTGAGTTTTTTCTGAAGTTGTGCATAGCATTGTAGGGGGCCATCAACGGAAGCAAGATAGTTCCAGGAAATAGCATCAAAATTTTTCTTCATTACACTGATTTTGGCTTAAGGTTTAGCTTGAATGTATTTCTTAATGCTCTTATTTTAAGAGTTTATTTGAAAGTTTTTTATATTTCGATTTTCATCCTGCAACACAAAATACCAAAATTTATTTTGTAGTTTCTTAAAAACTTTGAATCTCGAAACATGACAATTAAATGGTTTTTTAACGAAATCGGCAATCATCTTTGTATTTTCCTGAGTTGTTAATAGGAAACTTGAACACACAATAAACTTGAACAATAAATTTAGTTATTACTAATAACTTAGGAGATGGTTGTTCAGTCCTAACATACACCATTATTTTTAAAGCCAAAATTGACATGACAAACTAGTCCATGCTTTTTTTGCATTTAGAAATATAAGTTTTTGACAGTGGCGCAGTACTCATAAAGTTTTTGAGATACTGACCCAGTACTCATAAAGTCGGTACTTAGATTGCCTAAAACTATAATGTTAACAAACAACTTAAGTGAACACTTAAAAACAAGGTTTTTAAGTGTTCATTAATTATGATACATTTATACAAAAGGAATTTCGTTGGCTTCAAAGAAATCTTATGAACAATAAAAATAATTATTTTGGTTCTGGATGGCTCCATAAACAATGGAGATTTCTTGGAGAGCAAATCAAAAGAAAAAAGATAAAAGAACTAGCCTCTGAACATCATGAGAATCTATTTTTAGCTTCTTCAAAAAGTAAAAATGTCGCAGAGAAAAAAAAGCCTCTATTTAAAAAAATAATGTCTAATATTTTAGAGAAAGAAAAAGTTGATGAAACCTTGGATAAAACCTTTCCCATTAATATGAGTGTAAAGGAAGCTCTTGCATTAAAAATAACCACTGATCTCAGTGATAAAGAATATCAAATGATCTGAAACTCAGCTCTTGTACACAATGTACATATTTATCCTACCTTGTAATGTTATCCTGAGAATATAAATTTTTCTGAAATTTCTGCCAAGTGTACTCTTCAAAGCATGTTAGATCACACTGTTAGTAGAAAAACTGAAATGATTGATTAGCCAAGTTGTAGTCAAAGTAACAAATACTTATCTAACTATTTAGAGTTTTATATGGAAAGATAGGTTTTGATGAAGCATCAAGCCTAAGTATTTATAAACAGAAATACAAGACACATAACGCAAGTATAGAACTTCATAAAGAAAATTTTTTCAGTACAGCTTTTGTGCCTTTTTTGCTCAAAGTAGAAGATGGCGAAATTTGGGGAAATGGAAATCCTTCAAGTTGTTACTTTTGTAGACTATTTGATCTGCAATATATAAAAAAAAGTCCAATTTTATTCAGAGAAAAAGAATCAGATCTAAAAAAACAAATAAATACCTTAAAGATGTTATGCAAAGTTTTTAATATTTAGGAAGGATGGTTACCTTTAATATCAGCTGTAGGAACTTTATTATCAAACTTTATTGTCTGATAATAAAGTTCTGCAACGTGTGCAATGCTAAACCCAACGAAATGAATTGTTTTGTTAAAAGCAAAAACTGAGAATGAGTCGGCCTTGGGGCTCGGAATTTTAGCTTTGCATTGCTGGATAAAATGCTTGGAATTTATTCTTCATTTAAATTGAGGAAAAATTTTCTGTAGAAAAAAAGAGATTCAGGTACTCTTCAGAGAATGG